AATCTCAAACCACTTGTACAGCAATCACGAATAGTTTCTTAAAACTCTTAAGTGTACTCCAGAAAAATATATAAAAACTTGAGTATAAAAATTTTTCAGCGTGGGAGAAATTATAATTTCGTTTTTAAAGTGTGTTTCTGCCAAACAAGATGTGAGTTTATATAGGTATACTGGATGTAACTGCATCCTTCATGATCCAGAAATATATGCAAAATTTAATGACTTGTGGGTAGTAGGTTGTTGAAAACGGTCATATGATATTGATTAGTTTGAACCATTGAATAATTTCGAAATTGGTTAAAATAAATTAAAAAAAATTATTGTAATAAAAAAAGCCCAAGACCCTCCAATCAAAGACTTTTATATCATTGCATGTAATGTGACCCGAACTCCCAACGTCCCACACAAATTTCACTACTTAGACACTTCATCAAAATTAATTATTTTTTCACATATTATATTTATTGTATAAATATCCAACAGTTCTAGAATATTTTAGGGGTCCAATTATATAGACTTTAAGGAGACTTAAAACGTGAAACACAATGACGGTGCATTCATGGACCGACCTAACGATCTTACTATGTGCACGGTTGAGATTTAGCTTCCTCTCTCCTCACTGCCCTATAAATAACAGTCATTCAACATTCACGTAAACAAACTCTCGTTACCTTCTCTTGTAATTTCCAGATAAAACAAAAATGTCTTGCTGCGGAGGGAACTGTGGGGGATGTGGATCTTGCTGCGGAGGGAACTGTGGATCTTGCTGCGGAGGGAACTGCGGGGGGAATTGTGGATCTTGCTGCAAGTGCGGCCACGGATGCGGAGGGTGAAGCTCTCTATTTTTATTTTTGGCTTTCCATTTGCTACTTCGTTCGTTAACTTTTATGGGTAAGTGAATTTCTACTCTGTATGATCAATTTAAATTCATTATGATATGATTTCAGTTGCAAGACGTACTTCAATATGAGCTGTCCGGCGGCAACTGAGAATTGTTGCAAGTGCGTTTATAATTGCACTTGTAATCCTTCCACATGAAGCGTTGGCGCAAAGTCAGGATCTGAAGCAGAGATGAAGAAGCTAAGTTAGTATTAGTTTTGTGTGTTTAAATAAATCATCATCACTAGTAGGTGGTGATTGTGTAATATTCGTATAAAGTAATTAATAGTGTTTGTAATCTCACCTCTGCTTAATTATATTAATGAAAAACTCCTTTCTTCTAATTGTTTTTTCCAGTTTAATTTTCTTTTATTATTCTTTTACATTTCAAGTTTAAAAGAAAATGTTCTTTTTGAAGACTGAAACCTGAGTGGATATATCTCTGGAAAAAGATTATTTGACGACAAGATATTTCGTATTTCGAATTATACTTTTGAAATTACAAATAAAAATTTAATATCCGCTACCCCTCCAAAAAATAAAAAATAAAAAAATTACCAGTTTTTTGGCTTCCTAGTGTTAAGAATGTTTTAGTGACACAAAATTTCTATACAACCATGCATATTAAAGAATAAAAATTTTTGGCCACCAAAATTTAAATGGGCTTGGGAAATATATTAAAAAATATATTCGTAAAAATAAAAAAATTTTGCCCATCAAAATTTAAAGGGATAATTGCAACGAAAGTCCCAAACCTTTGAAATATTAGCAGGCTTTCTCCAAACCTTTCATTTATTACAACTGTCATCCTTAACATTTTCAACCGTTGCAGGTGAGGCCCCAAATGGATGGAAATCGTCTCTTCTGTTGTTAATTGACCACCAAAATTGAATTATGACCATTTTAACCAAAATAGGCGAGAGTAAAATTGTCTCTTCAATTTTAAAAAGGCCAAAATAGTAATTAAATTGGAAAAATAAAATAATTCAACGATCAAGAACACAAATAAATTAAACGACTTGTTCTATGAATTAAAAATAATCAATAATAAGTTTTATCTTCAACTAACACAAAAATCTAGCCTCGTGTTTCCAACGATTTAACAACAAAATGATTAGAAAATCATCAAGGAAATTTATAATTACAAGAAGGATGATTGGCAATCAATATTTTATTCTTGTTCTTGATATTCACTCTCAAGCTTTAATTCCTCAAGTTATTGACATTTCGTTCTTCCATCCGTAATATGATGAATTGGCCCTCTTTTTTGTAAGCTTTTATGATGTGAATTGATATGAGAGGTTAGAAGGGAACCCCTTCAGTGTTTGCCGACATTCTCTACTTATTAGCAATTTGTTAGGTTTCTAGTGTATTGACAATTCTTTAAACAAATGGATTAATGTAAAAGAGTTGTAAAAGTCATAAAATCTTTTAAAGTTGGTAGTATAGTCCTTGAAAGAATCCAAGATATCCAAGAAGATCATATATGATCATTGGAATGCAATTAGAAGTCCAAAGGATATAAAAAAGTCACACAAGTTATGTTCCAAATTCTCAATCACAACTTACAATGCATTTTTTACACAAAACAACATTGAAATTTGGATAAGGCTATATCTAGAAGAATTGTAGCCCTTTGAATTAGATTTCCAACTCATTTTGAATAACTTCAATTGGACATCAAGAGAAAAAGTTATGATGAAAATATTGACGACTACTTTGCTATCGCTAGCTCCTCGCTCGAGCGATAGGTTGACGACTAGAATTCCATTTTGCTTCAAACACTTAGTTTTTCAGTCCCTTTTCATCTCAAACACTTTCCCTTATAAATATACAACCTATGGGACGTCCAAAAGTGTGGTTGATCATTATATTTCACTTTCATATCATTCTCTAGAGATCCAAGAACTCATTCAATTGGAGAATTCATTCCATCCTTTCTTGAGATCATTCAACCACGCTTTGGGAAAACATCAAGATTCTTAATCCAAAACACCGTGCTTCCTTAATCTGTTGAGGAAGAAATTCTTTCATTGGGGGACTGAGAGAGGTGGATTGAAGCGCAGTTATAAGTATAAGAAGAGGTGGTTCTTGGTGTTCCACTTAGACATGTTGCTTTGGTTAGTATAATTCTGCACGTAAGGTCAAACAAATTGGTAATCTAGAATGTAAACTTAGTAACTCTAAAATTTGAAGTGGTATTAGAACGTTCTGGATTCTTTCAAACTTGATTCAATAAACACTTTATTTATCCACTTAAATTGCAACACACCTGTGAAATAATACAAGTCTTCACGATAGGATTGAAACTCTAACATTGCTCGTGGTGCTGAGGAAGAGTCAAACATGAAAGAAAATAAAATTTCAAATACTAGATCTTTATATTTTATCTTCTCTTCATAGAATGTAAACAATAAGTTGAAAGTTTAAATGAGGGTGAAACCATGTATTAGTTAAAGGAGTCATCTAAGCCCCGTATGTGACAAGCTTTTTCAAATTATATTTAATGAAATGTGTGGTTAAGAAGTAGACAAATGTTATGGATCCAACGAAATATATTGTTAAAAATGAAGTTTGTTCAGCTTAAAATATTAAAAAAAAATATACTTTTTATCAAACAAGGGCTAATTGTTTGAATTGGTTTAACTTATAATTAAATAAAAAAGAGGGGTACAGAGTGTAACGCCCTGAGCTCTGGGGGCTCGTAAAGAGCTCTTGACATTACAAGGACTTTAAATTTGTAAATTTCTACCTAAATAAACATAATGTGCAGAAATTTAACTTGTACTAAAAGCATTAAGACTTTAGAGAACCTGTTACAAAATTAAAGAAATTTTTCTTTCAAAAAGTTTAGA